ACGTCGAAAAACCGACTAACGAGTGGCTAGCGGCGTTGCAGAAGCAGAACCCTGTATGCCTGCTGAAAAAGCAAAGTCGGGTCTTATGTGGTATAACCGCTTAACAACTAAATTAAAGCAGCTTAGTTTGAAGGCTGCGATGCAAGATACATGTCTTTTTACCAAACAAAAGGGTAAACAGATATAATCACTATATATGTAGATGACTTATTACTAGCATAAAACGACAGGACATAGCTCGAAAGCGTGAAAAAATCGTTAAGCGAATATTTCGAGATGAAAGATATTGGTACAGTAAAGCGTTGCGTAGGCGTTAACTTCCAGCAAAACTTGGGTTCTCACAAAATTGGTTTGATGCAGAAGGGTTATTTTCAAACTATACTGGAACGTTTCCAAATGACCGTACGTAAACCAGTAAAAACACCTCTGGAGATAAATTCTAAAATTGAAAAACCGATTGAAATCGATGAAGAAGTCATGGCAAGGTACCCCTACCAAAGGCTAATAGGTGCCCTCATATTCTTAGCAGTTACCACACGAACAGACATAGCTTTTGCAGTAAATTACATGAGCAGTTTAACACAAACTACAATGAGCAGCATTGGAATGCTATAAAGCGAATTCTACAGTATTTGAACGGCACCAGAAATTATGGTCTTCTCTACACACAAAACAACAAAGCACTCTACGGCGTGGTCGATGCAGACTGGGATGCGAACTTGATCGATAGGCGATTGCACAGCGGATACGCGTTCGTACAGGCGGGTTCAGCAGTAAGCTGGGAGGCGCGGAAACAGCGCACCGTCGCACTTTCTAGCACCGAAGCCAAGTACATGGCTATGACAGAAGCGACGAAAGAAGCAATATATATCCAAGGCATTTTAAAAGACTTGGGTATATGCTGTCAAAATGTAACATTATTCAATGATAGCCAAAGAGCACAAAAACTCATTCACTGCTTAGGCTACAGCTCGCACACGAAGCACATCGACGTGCGCCATCATTTCGTTAAAGAATGATACCAAAGCGGAAAGATCGCGCTTACGTATATTCCGACTGAAGATATGCCAGCAGATGTCTTCACAAAAAGTTTAAGCAGCGTTAAGCATTGTAAATGCTCAGCAGCGTTAGACATGGCAAGTAGTCTCATTACTTCGAGGCGAGGTGTTGGCGCAGCGATGTAGTTTCAACTACCAACGTAATTTTTTTTAATACTATTTATTGTACTCATACTATTTTATGCAACCATGACTTGTTCTTTATTAACATTCTACTTAATCATTGTTCTTAATTACATTTCATTCCTTCAGTTAGTCCTTTGTATGCTGCGATCAAGTGAAGTAATTAAAGCGTTAATACACGAAGCTCTAAAACCTTGTTTTATTCCTGATTGTTTGGGGTACGCTTTCCAATTGCTCCGCGGAGGCGGCTTCTGTGC